TGCCAACTGGTTTGTTGCATAGTTCCTTGTCTATTAAAACGGAACATATATATCGACTGTGATATGTCAATACCAAATCACCCATAATTTTGGTTTCAGATACCAACAGCTCTTTTGTCCAGAACCTGAAGAAATCTGTAAGGGAAGCGGCTCTATTGATTCCTTCTTCAGCAGGATCATCACGGGACAGTCAATCCGATGAGGGATCCGAGCATTATTTCGTACCACTTTCAGCACCCGGGGTTTCCCGATATCCAACAGAAACGAAAGGCCTGACTCTCAGAGGGTCGAGGTTACTTACGTCTCTGAGCGAGCCTTCGTTTCTTGAACCCAATGTTCCTGATAGCCTCGCGCCAAGCAAGTACAGCGATATACCTGACACGTTTGATGATCTTGATTCATTCAAAGATTACGATAATGGCAACGGATTTCTCTCAGTCGCTGGATCAAATAGTGTAGCTTCTGATCCACAACAATCGTTTTACGACGTTGAAGATCAAGTATTCTCCCCGCCTTTACTAATGGACTCGTCACTATTATCAGATGCCTATGAAGACTTGTTAGGTACGTTTACTGCCCTCTTAGTGTTTATATGACATAGTCTCATTATATTATCTAGTAGTCTAATAATCTATCGAAATACAAGTTATGCGTAGATCGCACAATAAAGTTTGTTACACATTTCACTTTCCTTTTTGCAGCTCCGCTGTCAGAAACCGAAGCGGCCTTAATGGAGCATTAGGAAATAGAAGAAGCAGTGAATCAGACACTTGTGTTCTTCCAACAATCGTTCTCTCATGTGATCTCTCTCTCTCACACAGGTGTTTGAGTTATTTACCATTTAACAAGGTTTTCTTTATTTATCTTGGATTTGTTTGGTAATGAGATGATATGACTATTTGTTTGTGTGTAAAAAAACCTCTAGCTCAGGTAGAAAGAAGCATTTCTCTCTAATATTTTGCTTTTCCAAAAAAAAAATATCGACGGTTTGATTATTTTATTGAAATTTTAGATGTAAAGAAAATGTAGAACAAGAGTTCGGCCTGAAATTCCTTTTGCTCTCTTTTAAATCTTCATTAAAATGTCTGTCATTTTTGTATTAACTACTACTTCCGTTTCAATCTAATAACACACTGTTTTAAGGCAAAACTTTCTACCACACCCATAAAAACATCATTGATTTTAATAGTTTCATTGATTTTAATACTGGTTCGTAAAACAGATCAGCTTTTCGTTTCCGGTTTCAGTAGCTTCATTGAAAGATAAATCGGAAAAAATCGAAATACCAAATAGAGAGCCCAAGTCAAAATGAATTTGGTTTGAACATAGAAATAAGACAACCAAATAAGTTATTCGGCGGTTATTTATGTAGGAGAGTTATACAAAATTGCAAAATATTCTTTTATTTTGGAGGAACTGAGAATATTTTTCTTTTGGATTAAATACATTTCCTCACATCTTTTATATATACCGTAGAATCCATATATATAAAATTAATTTTTGAGATG